AGCTGATCTCATTGGTGAAGCAGCACCTCTTTCATGGGCTTCCTGCTGAGATTCCGATGGACCACATCGAGAATTTTGAGGAGATTTGCAGCACGACTGGATCAAATGGGATAACAGCCGATTTCTTGAAGTGCAAGCTTTTTCCATTCTCACTTGCGGACAAAGCTTTGCGCTGGCTGAAGTCATTACCACCTGGGTCATTGACTACATGGGAAGAGTGCAGATCAGCATTTTTGGACCATTTCTACACTAAGGCCAAAACTACAGCTCTGAAGAACAAGATCTCGTCATTTAAACAGCAACCTGGTGAAGCTTTTTGCGAAGCTTGGGAGAGGTACAAGGAGTACTGAAGAGAGTGCCCTCACCATGGGTTCTCTGATGAGCAGATTCTGTCAACCTTTTATGATGGTGTCAACTGGGATTACAGGAATGCTTTGAATGCAGCTAGCAATGGCGATTTCATGACTAAGTCCAAAGAAGCTGCTTATGAGTTGATTGAGAACTTAGCTGCAAGCTCCAGCAACAAATCCCAAGAGTATGACAGGTCTAGCAAAGCAGTTCATAGTGTGGAGTTGAGCAAGATCGATGAGCTTACAGCAAAGGTGAATCTGCTGTTGAGAGAGAACCAGAGATCTGTGCATTTTGCTGATGAGGTTGGTGATGCACCTCTTGCTCAAGAGTTTGTAGATGCAGAGAATAATGATCAGATGGAGGTAAATTTCGTGAATGGACAAGGGTATGTGCAGAATCGCAGCTTCAACAACTTCAGAAGCCACCCGAATTTATCCTACAGAAGCAACAATGTTGAGAACCCTCAGGATCAGGTCTATCCGCAGCAAGGAGTGCAGAATCAGTCAGGATTTCAGAAAAACTTCTCCAGCAACTTCCAAGGAAAGCAGTTCATCACCAATCAGAATCGGTTTCAAGGTGGAAATCAGCAGAAGTTGCCTTTCACAAGTCTGCAGTCTTCTTCGAGTTCCTCAAATAACTCGCAAGATGAGCTGAAAAACTTGATGCAACAGCTGCTGGTTAATCAGCAAAAGTCTTCCATGGAGATTAATGCCAAATTGGACACCATGTACAATGATTTGAATGGCAAGTATGAAGCAGTGTGGACTCATGTCAAGAAGTTGGATGTTCAGGTAGCTCAGACTGCAGAAGCTGTGAAGAGATCACCTGGAACTCTCCCTGAAAAAGGTGAAAACCCTAGGAATGAGTTTGTGAATGCTATTGAGCTTAGAAGTGGGAAGACTCTACATGCTGCACCAACAAGCTCTGTCTCAGAAAAGAGGAAGGAAAAGGACGTGGAGCACCTGCTCCAAAATCGGAAGCACCTGCTCCAGACGTAGATTTGACGATGGAGCACCCTGAGCCAACGAGGGAGCACCTGCTCCAGCCACCTGCTCCAGCAAACATTCCTGCAAGAGTTTACATGCCTAAGGTACCTTACCCAGTTCCACCAAAGAAGTCTCGCAAGGACTTAGAAGAGGCAAAGTGCAGGGAGATGCTGAGGGATTTGACTGTAAAACTCCCTCTAGTTGATGCTGTTCAGATGATACCAGCCCTAAAAAGATACATGAAGGGGTTAGTGTCTGGGAAAGCTGTTGAGGAAGAGAGTGTCATGATGGTTTCGAAGGAGTGCAGTGATGTGCTTCAGAACAAAGTGCTGAAGAAGAGAAGTGATCCAGGAAGGTTTGTTCTCTCAGTCAGGATTGGGAATGTGCTGTTTACAAGGTCTCTCTGCGATCTGGGTTCAAGTGTGAATCTGATGCCTTACTCTGTAGCCAAGCGATTGGGTTACACCAGATTCAAACCGACGAAAATCTCGCTGGTATTCGCTGATAGATCAACCAAATTCCCTGTTGGTATACTTGAGGATCTGCATGTTCAGATAGGTGATACACTTATTCCAGCAGATTTTGTGGTTCTGGAGGTTGATGAAGAACCCAAGGATCCTTTGATATTGGGTCGATCCTTCTTATGCACAGCTGGTGCAATCATAGATGTGAAAGGAGGAGTGATAGATCTCCAGCTGGGAGATATGGTGGTGCGATTTGAGATAAATAAACTCCTCAAGAAACCAATGCTGGACGGACAGACATTTGTCATAGATGATGGTTCAAGCATTGCTGAAGAGGTTGCTGAAGAGGTTTTGGCCATCGATCCTCTGGAAGTTGCACTCACCAAAGCCGAAGGAGAACATGGGTATTTGAGTGAAGAAGCTGATGGGTTTGCAAAGATGCTGAATGCAAGCACGATGATGCAAAGGCTAGTGGCGTACATGAGCTTAGAAAGCAAGGAGAGCTCATCTGCAGAAAAAACCGACGGAGCACCTGCTCCGAATCCTGGAGCACCTGCTCCCGACGGCTTGATTGATGGGCCTTGGAGCGAATTGAGAGCTCCGAAGCTTGAGCTCAAACCCCTTCCTGTGGGGCTCAAGTACGCGTTTCTAGGACCCAATTCGACATACCCTGTGATAGTGAACTCTGAATTGAACAATGTAGAGATTGCCTTGCTTCTTTGTGAATTTAGAAAGTATAGGAAAGTTCTAGGATATTCACTAGATGACATTCCAGGGATCTCTCCTGATCTTCGCATGCATAGAATACATTTAGAAGATGAGTCAATGACTTCTGTAGAACATCAGAGGAGGTCAAACCCGAATCTACAAGATGTTGTAAAGAAAGAGATAATGAAACTTCTAGAAGCTGGTGTGATCTATGCGATTTCAGATAGTAATTGGGTTAGTCTGGTTCATGTAGTTCCTAAGAAAGGTGGCATCACTGTGATAAAAAATGATAGGAATGAATTGATACCAACTAGAACTGTTACTGGGCATCGAATGTGCATAGATTACAGGAAATTGAATGCTGCAACTTGCAAAGATCATTTTCCTTTACCATTTATCGATCAGATGCTTGAACGCTTGGCTAACCATCCTTACTACTGTTTCTTAGATGGTTATTCAGGTTTCTTTCAGATCCCAATCCACCCAGACGACCAGGAGAAGACGACATTCACATGTCCTTATGGCACCTTTGCATATCGCAGAATGCCATTTGGCTTGTGTAATGCTCCAGCAACATTCCAACGCTGCATGATGTCGATTTTCACTGACCTGATTGAAGACATAATGCAAGTTTTCATTGACGATTTTTCTGTCTATGGAAGCTCCTTTTCTGTCTGTTTGTCTAATCTGTGCAGGGTCTTGCAGCGGTGTGAGGAGAAGCATCTGGTGCTTAACTGGGAGAAATGCCATTTCCTGGTGAGAGATGGGATCGTGCTGGGACACAAAATCTCAGAGAATGGGATCAAGGTGGACAGGGCAAAGATCGAGGTGATGATGAGTCTGCAGCCACCAACATCAGTCAAGGGGGTTCGCAGTTTTCGGGGCCATGCAGGTTTTTACAGACGCTTCATCAAAGATTTCTCAAAGATTGCCAGACCCCTGACGCAGCTGCTGTGCAAGGATGTGAAATTCGAGTTTGATGATGCATGTTTGGAGGCATTTCACGCTATCAAAGGAGCTCTAGTCAGCGCTCCTATTGTCCAGCCACCAGATTGGGAACTTCCTTTTGAGGTGATGACCGATGCTAGTGATTATGCAGTGGGCGCAGTGCTGGGACAGAGGAAAGAAAAGAGGCTCCATGTCATCTATTATGCCAGCCGAACACTCGACGAAGCTCAGTGCAGATATGCCACAACCGAAAAGGAGCTTCTTGCAGTGGTTTATGCTTTTGAGAAGTTCAGGTCCTACCTTGTTAGGTCGAAAGTTGTTGTTCACACAGACCATGCAGCTCTGAAATACCTGTTGACGAAGAAGGATGCCAAGCCAAGGCTCCTTCGATGGATCCTTTTGCTGCAGGAGTTTGATTTGGAGATTAAAGACAAAAAAGGGATTGATAATGGTGTTGCAGACCACTTGTCGAGGCTGAAGATAGATGATGACATTCCACTAAAAGACAGCTTTCCTGATGAACAAGTTTACGCCATAGATGTTTCTGGGTTCGACGAGCACCTGCTCCCCACCGGAGCACCTGCTCTGACGAGTTTTTGCAACCAAGTTGACATAGATCGGCATTTTGGTTTCCCATGGTTTGGAGAGATTACAAATTACCTTGCTGCAGAGCAGGAACCTGCAGGTTTTGTGGGAAACAAAAAGAAGAAGTTTCTGAAGGATGTGAAGCACTACTTTTGGGATGAGCCTTACTTATACAGGCATTGCTCTAATGGAATCTTCAGAAGATGTGTAGCTGATGAGGAGATACCAGGAGTGTTGTTTCATTGCCATGGATCCTCTTATGCAGGTCATTTCGCCACTTTCAAGACTGTGTCGAAAATTCTCCAAGCTGGGTATTGGTGGTCAACGATGTTTCGAGATGCAGCGAGTTTTATCTCCAGATGTGACACATGTCAGAAACAGGGAAACACTAGCAGGAGGAATGAGATGCCTCAGAATTTCATCTTGGAAGTGGAGATTTTCGATGTGTGGGGTATAGACTTCATGGGACCTTTTCCATCATCTTATGGGAATGAGTATATTCTGGTGGCAGTTGACTATGTGTCAAAGTGGGTGGAAGCTCTGGCTAGTCCCACAAATGACGCAAAGGTGGTTTTAAAGATGTTTAAATCTGTCATTTTTCCCAGGTTTGGTGTGCCGCGAGTGGTGATTAGCGATGGAGGCTCTCACTTCATCAATAAAGTCTTTGAAAACTTGTTGAAGAAGAATGGTGTAAGGCATAAGGTGGCGACCCCCTACCATCCTCAGACGAGTGGGCAAGTTGAGGTTTCCAACAGGGAAATCAAGAACATTCTGCAGAAGACTGTGAGCACCACAAGGAAGGATTGGGCAGTGAAGCTTGATGACACCTTTGGGGACTACACCATTCCACTTGGTGTATGGAAAAGCATGTCATCTTCCAATGGAACTTGAGTACAAAGCTGCTTGGGCAGTGAAGCTGCTGAATTTCGATGCAAAGAGTGCTCAGGAGAGGAGAATAATGCAGTTGCATGAGCTGGAGGAAATTAGGCACCTGGCCTATGAAAACTCGAAGATTTACAAAGAGAGGACAAAAGCTTTCTATGACAAGAGGATCCTCAACAGAAGCTTTGCACCAAACGATCAGGTATTGCTCTTTAACTCTAGATTGAAATTGTTTCCAGGGAAGCTGAAATCGAGATGGTCTGGACCATTCACCATCAAGGAGGTTCAACCATATGGAGCTGTAGTGTTGCTGGACACTAAAGGAGGCGAGTTTGTTGTCAATGGACAGAGGTTGAAACCATACCTTGCTGGTTCAAATAAGGCAGAGGGTGAATCAGTCACCTTAAGCGATCCTCCTCAAGCCTAAATGGCTTTCCAAGTCAAGCTAATGACTTAAAACAAGCGCTTGGTGGGAGGCAACCCACCAGTAAGAATCTCTAACTTTGTGTCTTTCAATTCTTAGTACTAACTTTGTTTTTAGGTTCTTTGTTAAAAAAAAAAAAAAAAAAAAAAAAAAAAAAAAAAAACAGGTAAGAAGTTATTCAACGTGGAAGAGAAGATGTGAGGAAGAAGAAGGAAGAGCACCCAACCGGAGGACCTGCTCAATCTGCTGGGTTGGTTGCTCAAAGCGTAAAAACTGACGAAAGAGCACCCCCTCCCCAGTCGGAGCACCTGCTCCACAGGGTGCTCACCACGTAAAAAGTGACGAAGGAGCAACCCAAGGGAAACCGGAGCACCTGCTCCGGCACCTGCTCCAGACGAACAAAAGACGAGGGAGCACCCAGCTCTGTTCCGGAGCACCTGCTCCGCCAGGGTGCTCTACATGTGCAAACCAGGTAAGTTTTCTGGACACTTCTCTAGCTTATTTTTACACCGGGGACGGTGTGAAGTAAGTCCGGGGGAGGGTCGTGTCCCTTGTACTTCTTTCTTTTGCTTTCTTCCTTTTAGTACTTTCTTTGAGTCAATTTTTAGTTTGTTTGTTTGAGTCATTTAGTTTCTTTGAGTCAGTTGGTTATATGAGTCAAGTCAAAGCTTGTGGGAATGAGGACCAATTCTATGATGATTTCAGACCATTTGTGAATCTTGACCATCTTCTTTTAGTGATTATTACTGCAGAATCATCTAGATCGACTAATAGAAAATCCAACGACAAAGCAGTAGACTAGAGGAGCCCAAAATTCTTGACTAATCATTGAACCTGAGCTAATTTCTCAGCTCTTCATTTTCCTCATCGATCAGGTTAGTGCTCATAGGGCTTGACTCCTCATTCTTACCTGACAAATAAAGACCTGTGTGATAGATTTGGTATTCCTCTCTCATGTTCTAAGCATTGTTTCAGGCTGTTTCTTAAAAAACAAAAAATGACAAAAGGCAGAAAAGATTGAAATGATTTTCTTTTAGAAGTTAAGGGTTAGGAAAATTTCCAAGGATCCCATTATTTTACTTCTAAAGTGGAATGATCACACAAGGGATGGAAGCGAGGGGTAGGAAAATTTCCTGTGACCCCATTATTCGCCTACACCTTTGATATATAATGAGGGGACAAACCAGGGATTCGGTGGCAATCACCATCAATACTCGCGTCTTTGAACCTTGTTATATGTGCCGAAAAAAAAAAAAACGAAACATCTTGGAAAGTGAATAAGTTCGGGGGAGAGGAAAGGTACTTTTGTGTAGTATGGTCAATTTGTTAAGGTATAAGTATGGGAACGAGTCTAGAAGGTCCTTAGCACTGGTTTTATCGATGAGACTCAGCAATGATGGGACATGGATGATGTTATGAAATTGAGGGACTAATCTGGAAAGTTGCAGCGTCTACGGAGAAGTACATGTAGGTTAGATTTTTGATTGATTTTGCAGCAGATTGTCACATGTCTTGGTCAAGTTTACGGTCTTTTGAGTTTTGTGAGTTCCCAGCTTTATCCAGTCATTCTTTTGGAATTGAATTTGAGTTTGTTTGAGGACAAACAAGGATCCAAGTTCGGGGGAGTTGATGAGTGGAGATTTTGACTCATTCTAACCTGTGTTTACTAATTGTTTTAGGAGTTTTTGGAGTCTTTTCAGTAAGTTTCAGGTGATTTAGAGGCCTTATCAGAGGATTGGAGTGTTTAGGAGGCATTAGAGCAAAAGGAGATGAATTTGAGCAATAAGGAGCTATTTCACACGCTTTTGGAGAAATCATCCGCGGAGCACCTGCTCCCGGTTTGGACCCTTCGTGGAGCACCTGCTCCAGACGGGAGAAAAATAAGGAAATCGACTTTTACCTAATTTTAGGAGGAGAAAGAGAATAAAAAGTCCACAGCCGCCTGTGTTTTATTATGACGTTTTTCTACAGACTTTCTACGCTTTCTTTTTACAATTTCCTGAACCAGAGAGTTTTTACTTGTAAGCTTTTGGGAGAAGAAATCTGCTACACTTTGAGAAGAATTCTGAACCCTATTATCTCTTCTGCGATTTTAATCTATGAATTTCTTTTCATCTGTTGTTGTGTTTCTTTTCTCCATGTCTGAGTAGATCTCTTAGCTAGATTAAGGGTTTCAAAGGATTTCATGAGTTAGAGAATTGGATGCAAATAGGGTCTATAATCGATTGTCTTCACCTTTGTTAGACTTAACGCTTAGGTTGAACTGGCCATTCAATTTACGTTCATAGGTTAATCTATTCATCAAAAGTGTAATAGGTTGCTAGAACAAACACTGGTGAGCGATTTGTCCTTAGCCAACGACAGTTGAAGTTAAGGCAAATCGTGAACAGATCAAACCTGCTTGTTAATGCTTGTCTGCAATTTTTTAAGTTCAAACGACAGTTTAGAATTTAGGTTGTTAGATAAAGTTATCGAGATCACGACAGTGGATCGATAAGCTTTTATGTTTGAGTTCGAGACCTGTATTTAAATTGTGCCCTAAATAGTCATTTGATTCTCATCTCTGAAACTCCTGCGAATTACCTTGATTTAGTGCTTGTTTTCATTTGAATTTAAATCGTTGTTTGCCATTCTGTTTACTTTTTAGTTTTCGCAACAAACCATCTTTCGTCTTAGCTTTCATTCAATCCTCGCAAAGTCATAGAGTAACACTGGTCCTCTGGATTCCGAATCCTTTATATTACAACTACATCACTGTTCTATTGCAGTAGAAACTAGGAGTACATCCAGTCTGAATCAATAATACATACACACTATTGAAATTTGTTACCTTAAACTCTTGAATGCCATGAAATTAAAAAATAACTTGCAAAAGAAAGTTCATCATTAAAACAACCACATATCTGTTCGTAACGTAAACGAAGCTGCGTCTCATAGATGCTTGTTCTTTGAAGCTAAAGAAAAATCAGATATGTATATGACCTAAAAAAATAATTAGAATAAAAAAAAAATGAGAGGAAAAATAAATAGCCAAACTAACAATTAAGAGTTTTAAGGTTATACCTCAACTTCTGCCCGCCACTAAGAATCCTTAAGAAAAACACCTAAAGAAAAGAATTTGAATAAAAACTAAAAAAACTACTATACGTAATGAATATGAAAGGGTCCTCATCAAATTATATTTTGATTCTAATCGTTTGCTCTGTTTCATCCACGTACCCAAAAATCAAAAATCAAAAGATTAGTTCATACAAAAGATCAGTTCATACAAAATACAAAAAAAAAAACAAAAAATAACAACAAAAAAAATCAAGATTGATCTTATTGAAATAAGAAATAACAACAAAGATATATATTTATCGTATTGAAATAAGAAAATAAAACATTCATAAACTAAACTAAACCTAAGCGATGAAAAGAAACTCGGTTAAAAAAAGAGAACATGTAACCAATATGAGAGGAGATACAAACTATATATATATGCGACATGCTTTTTAGGGTTTAGAGGTTTTCCATTTTTATTTATTACGACCAATATCGATATAACCAAATATTCTTTTTTGATTAACCGAATATTTTTTCTTGATTTGTATAAATAGATTCGGCATTATCCTTTCTATTTAGTGAAGATTTTATTATTTACAATGAGAAACGTCTAGAAAATTTGCAGTAAATTTCTGTTTTCGATAAAACCGAACAGAAATGTAATATTTCTGTTTTTTATTCATTAAAAATATTTTAAAACCCAGATTAATTAAATAGAGAATTCGAAAAAAAAAAATAAAAAGTTAGAGAATCGAACCTGCTACAAAAAAAAATAAGAAACCGAGTACTTAACCAATAAATCTACCATTATTTTTGGTAAACTTATCGATTTTTAAATATATATTATATTATGGACCAAAAAATAGTGATTGAGCCATTTCCTTCCAAATATAGGCTTTAATCTACAATTTATTGGGTTTTAATTATAAAATATTTCTTTTTTTGTTACAGATTTATTAAAGTATTAAATAAATAAAATAGACCAATCAGAAGATGTTATTTTCATTAATGGCATAAACGTAATTTACCACTCTCAACAAAAACATGGGCTTGGACCGTTTTTCTGCAGATCCAATCAGAAAAATATATATATAATTAAATAAAATCAACCAATCAAATTATAAGACCAATCAAAACATTTGATTTTCATTAATCAAAACGACATCAAAAGCTGTGCATTGAACCACACACGAATTAACTTCTTAAATACTAATATAGATATTTATGATTTATATACATCTAAATTTCTGTCACATATACAAAAAAAATATTTCCACATCATATTATATAATATATTATGTAAAAATGATTGGAAAAAAAATATATTTTTATATTCGACTTGGAATTACAATAAATTAGAAGTTATTAGTTTTGAGTAATTCAGTTTGTTATTCATTTTTTTAAATTTGTATTTATTAAATTATATCAATTTTGTCTATTTAATTATAATTAGAAGAAGTGACAATGAATATGATAAAACTGAATATAATCATAAAATAAATTATTAAATAAATAAAAATGATATATTTATTGAAAAAAATATGAAGAGTAAAACTAATGTGCCTCTTGCATTGAGAGCCAAAGATGAAATGATATATTCACTTCTTTTGTCTTCCAGGACGATATAAATGCCTAAAAATAGAAAAATACATAACCACAAACAACGCCAAACAATTGAATTGTTTAAATCGTGAACGACATACAATTTTTTCCCATGACACAGAGTTTCCAGAAGAACACAACGCAAATCCAAACTAGCTATATAAACATTAAAGTATCTGTGGCAATCCAAAGATGCATGGCAGAGTGGCCTTACGACTACAACGTAACCATTTAGAGACGTTGAGAAAGATACATAGCTAAAGCATCAACAGGTTTGGCCGAGTCGATATTTCCCATTTCTCGTGATCGGATTTTGATTCTTGCAAGATAATCAGCTGCAATCCAAGCAAAGCTCA